GTAAAGGAGGGCTGTGAACTAGATGCCCTTGACGCCTGTCAAGGAACAGAATCCGTAGAGGTCATGCTTTCATGTGAGTTTGGTTGATTCTGAGAGGAAGAGTGATAACTGAAGGAGTATCTTTCCCTAGGTAATGTTAAGATAGAAATGGTGGAGAATTTTCACCCAGTGGCAGAGAGCCAACCCAGTAGAGAGCAGAGATATGGTTGAGCAGAACTTTCAAACCTGTTTTCTACCATTGAATGTTTTATTGCTGTTTAAAGCAAGGTGATCTGAGATTGGCACCCAAGTGACAATTAGGAAGAAGAGGCCATGGTAGAGATGTTGATTTCTGGAAGGAATAAAAAGGAAGCCATTGCCATGTCTGATATTTTTTTCTTGTGGCATCATAGTATTGCCTGTTTTTTACTTAGTTCCAGAATTCTGATAAAAAGCAGTCTCAGGCAGTAGGCCAAATACTCTGGGTTTAAGTTTGGAAGGGACATCTGATTTACTGTGGATTAGAATTTATGTGGTAGTTAGAATTCCATTGAGTGAAAAGAACCATTAATAAATTTACCTGGGATTATGCTTTCTTCTCATTGTTCTGACCCATGTTAATTTCCCCAAAAGTCTGTGGTGCTGCCATTATCATTAGGATTATGATATATTTTGCTTCTCATTTCTTTGCCAAGGGAGGTTTATAATATGTATATAAGGCAAGTTGCATGTTCTTAAACACAACACATTTCACAATTATAATAATTTTCAGTAGAGTAATCGGCTTGGTATTTTTGTGCATGTTTTGGGGCAAGTGATAATGAGCATTCTCCAAAAATAGTTTGCAAGGTCATTCTTAAGTCAGTTGGTGAGACCTGGCAAATTCTCCATTTCGTCCCACAATAACAGCACATATATTGTTGAAGATGCTAAAAGCAAACTTTGGAGTCCTTGGGGTTCTCTGAGCTTGGTTGTTTTCTTGCAGACGTTTTGATACCTGGCTAGGACATCTTCAGTGCTAGAAGGGAATGTGGTTTGCTCTTTGTTTATATATAGTAGCTTGCCCTGCCAGTGTTGGTGGGCATGTTGTTTTCTTCTTGGTAGTTCCTTGATTAGGCTGTTGTTTACTGCTTGATTGTCTGTCTGCAAATTTAATAGATAGGATTTTGACATATCTGCATGGTATTCTAACACAGAGGATCTTACTTGTTTGGTCTGCCATAGTGATACCATCAGTTACCAATTTTATTAGAATGCTACTTGCTACCTTCTTCCTATCACCCCTACTTACTTTTGTCCTTTTTCAGATCAGATGGACATACTTTCAAATAAAACCTTGAACTGTAGCCAGGCATATGGGCCATTTGGGGCCAGATCTTGGACATTAACATGACACCACTGTTTCATGTTTTTGGAAGTGGCAGCATGACCACTTCCATTTTTATATTAATGTGAAAATTCATGTCCATGGGCACAGCAGCATCTCTGGCTCTAACTGAACTGAGATATTGTGCAGTTAGGAAAATGAGCTACAATTAACTAACTCCCAGCAGGCAGTTGTCCCACAAAATTCTATGTCCAAAGTGGCGTACAAGTTGCATTGTATTCTTGAAAGAACATGAACCATGCGTATCAAATATAAACATCAGCATATCAAAAAGTCAGAATTAATTTTATATCAGCCTTTGTCTCTATTATAGACTTTAAGAAGTGTTAGATAGGACATTGTTTGCTCAGCCTTAAGTTTTCCCCCTTCTATAAGGAGAGATAATAAAGCTTGCCTACTTGTTGTGAACACTGCTGCACTAGCCTGTGTGAACAGCATTACATTTTCTGTGAAGTATCTAGTATAAATTATTGTGAACATTGTGAGAAAATCAAAATATGAGCCAGTCATGTGTTGTTTTAGAAGTTTATATAGAACTAAATGAATTATTTTCACTTGGTAGGAGAAGCAGTACTTGCCAGTAATTGCAATCTGGGTTGGTAGAGAAAAACTTCTTTAAAAAAAACTCTTTGTACTGACATTTCCCTTCTGCCACTAATGTAATTTTTCTAGATCACCAATCTATTAAGCATGGAATATTGTTCTAGAAGTGGCTTCATTTGCTACTCCTGTGATAAACAAGAGCAGGCTTAAATATGATGGAGGCCCTCTAGGACTATGCGTAGATTGTCTGAAAAAATGTCCCAGGAGGCTCAATGTTGCAGTATCTGGTGTACCCATGCATACCTTTCCTGGTGCTCACCAAATCTCCTGCTCCTCTTTATATTTTTTGAAAAATCCTTTCAGTAATAAAGAATGGGAAGCTGGCCTGCCTTAAAGCACAGTGCCAACCCTCGTCCCATCTTTATTTCCAAGAAAGCCTCTGGGCCCAAACTGGGCTCCATAAAATAATGAGTGGTTGCAGTCCAGCACTTCATTTGGAAGTGGACTCACCTGCCCAGAAAGAGAATAAAGATAAGCAAAATTAGAGAGCCTTCTGATAAAGTGGTATTTGGTTGCTGTGTTCCCCATGGCGGCCATTTCATGAATGGACAAGCTCCCAGTAGCCATTTTTCAAAAACACGCATAGTAGATTGTCAAATTTCCAAATTTACATACCAGAAAAGTTGATGAACTGACTGAATGAATATAGGGCTTATAGAATATAAATTAAGTTTCACAAACTGCCCACTGCAGCTACATGAAGTGAAAAGTTATGAAAGGAAGAACTCCTTGGGCATCTAGGAGAGAGAGCAAAAGTAGTATGTTGGTGGTGGATGTCCCTTCCTTTTCTGATTTTCTTCAGGCCATTCCTGACTAAGCAGGATGGAGAGACAATTCCATGAAGCATCTCAGATGGATTAGAGGGATACAGCCCTTTTAAACAAGCTCTTTTTTCCTTTGTTATTGGTATGTGTAAGTCCCCCATGCTTCCCCAAGTAGACCAGGTAGCATGGAGTGATGCTCTCTTTAAGGCCTTTCAGGTCCTCAGCCCAAAATGCCTCCCTTCAGCAAAATCGTGTGCTGCTCCACATTCATATTTGATTCATATATGTGCAACTCTGTGGTCTAACTGGAAACATTTGTAGTTCATCTGTGGCTGGTTATGAGAATGTTTCAACATATTGCCTGCTTGCAATTTGCCACATCCATGGCTTCTGGGAGATATTGGAGGAAGTATTGCGTTGTGACCTGGAGAAATATTCAAACAGTCCCACAGCTTGCTTGAGCTGTTCCTTCCAGAGCTCAGATGATCACGTAAGGTGGTCCTCGGAGATTGTTGTTTTAGTGGAAAAGAGTTTCTCTTTCTTGGTGTACATTAATAAAATGCAAGTTTTTCTTATAGTTTCACAGTTCTGGCATGTCTTTAGATTAATTGGATTACAATTCCCATTGTCTCCAGCAGTACAGACAATCAATGCAGGTTATAATGGGAGTTTTGGTACTGAAGGGTAGTAGAATTGGAGAAGGCTGCTGTAAGACATATTGCAGTCAGATAAATACAGTGAAGATTAACAACTCTTGAGGTGGGGTGGGGGGGATTTAAGCATTTTGGGAGGGAGGGACGGGTACAGTGGGTGGTGTAGCGACGTGGTCAGCCTCGGTGGAGCAGGGTTTTCTTTTTGCAGAAGGTCTTGGCTTGTTTAATCATGGCCATTCTAATTTAGAATTTATATTCCAGTTTCTTGCCACACAATGGTAGGAGACTGCCACTAATTTCATATTATTGTGATTACATGAGGGCTGCAGGCAGCTCTGAGTACCCTAGTTGCCTAGACATGATCTAGCCTATAGGCAGGCAGAAAGGGGAGCATAATGTGAGCCATATTTAGCTGGTATCTCCTGGTGAGGAGAGGTGTGAAGTCATTATGAGGTTACCCATCAGTGACATCATACTTCAGTGTCTTAAATGTAAAGCTGCTTCCAACATAAAACTAACTTAGGTCACCTGGACTGCTAGGAGAAGGTAAAAGATTGAAAAGATAAAAGAACCATTTTGGTCTAGTGGTTAAGGCACCAAGCTAGAATCCCGGAGACTGAGTTCTAGTCCTGCCTTAGGCATGAAAGCCGGCTGGGTGACTCGGGGCCAGTCACTCTCTCTCAGCCCCACCCACCTCACAGGATTGTTGTTGTGGAGAAAACAGAAGGAGGAAGGAGTATTAGATATATTCGCCACCTTGAGTTATTTATAAAAATAATAAAGGTGGGATAAAAAATCTAAAAAAAAAAAAGCAAACTGGACTTGGATGTTCCTTTAGAGTAGATTGCTTTTTACATGTAGATTTGTCTTTTGTGGCCTACAAGCAGGTGGTCCAGGTATCTTGATGGCTGCAAAGGTCTTATAGAGTGTAGAATGTATTTATGAGAAATAATGGTCTTGTATGCTTGTGGGATAAAGAATGAAGAAGAAACCTACAATCAGTTCCTCTTTTTATTAAAGGTTTAAGACCAATAATGTTTATGTATTACTTCCAGTGGGGAGAGTATGAGTTACCAGACTATCTTCACTTGAATCTCATGCAAGTACACGTAATCTATTGCAGTTGCATAGCTTATTCAGGATGATATCTATACAGACATTCTGCTTGGTTGGTTATCACCCAGTAATTTAAATTTGGCCAGTAAGGAGAATGAAAAGAAAATTTCAAACTAGCAGTTTGTAGGAATTTGCCTGTAGTCTACACCAAGCTTTTGGACTACTCTACTTGAATGCCCATCATTTCCAGCCATCAGGCCCATGGATGGAAATTGTACTCTAATCCCTCTTGAAGCTACTGGAGCAGGTTGGGGAAATTGGTGGGATAACAGAATGGTAGTGGAGAATATAATGTCTACCTTGACGTATGTGGCTGCTAAATGGATTTCTGTATTAGGTCCTTTTGTTACTGTTTGGGCATATTTCAGAGGACACTCATTTGGGCTTAACCCAGGCAAGCAAGGAGCTGAAGTTTCCCTGTAATGTCACTTGAGATGGTTAGCTCTCTCGGAAGTAATTATGCATTGCAAGCACATTTCACTGTGTTTGTGCTTTCAGGAGTGCACCAAACTCTCTCTCGCGCTTGTAAAGTTTCATCACAGTGAGAAGAATGGGTTCGGTTTCAGAGATGCTCACAGCAGTCCCCCTTCACAAGAGGCCTGACCTCCTTGAGGCCTGTGCTGACCTCATCAATGAAGAGTGGAAACGGAGCCGGACCTCCCGAATCCACTCCCTGCAAAAATCTAGTGACAGCTTTCCCACGTGCCTGGTACTGATCAGAACTTTGAGACTGATGGAGGAAACTGCAGAAGGGAAGATGCCCAACACCCAGTGCCAACTTCTGGGACATGCCAGGTTGTCGCGTGTGGTTGGCCAATCCAAGAGCTTATTTGTGGAGACTGTGGTAGTTGCCAAAGCCCTCCGTGGAAAGGGCTATGGCAGGAAGCTGATGGAAGCTGTTGAGAATTTTGCAAAGGCCCATGGCTACCAGCATCTATATCTCACCACACATGACAAGCAGCATTTTTATGCCCACCTGGGCTATAGCTTGTCCAAGCCTGTCCAGTGTGCTGGATTCACCAGTTCTCTGGTACCTATGGAATTTTTGGAGAACTTCTCTACTCCTCAACATAAGACAGAGCTCCCTGCGCGATCTGGGAAGCATAATACGCATGCATCTTACTGGAGCAGATCTGGAGCAAATCTCCCTCCTTCACCATGTGCCGCACCCCATTCCTCTTCTCCTTTTTGTTCAGTAACCCCCCCTCTGTTGCCTTCTCCTTGTTCTTATCATTCAGGGACAGCTACCATTTCTCCCCATCCCCAGTTGCCACGTCCCCACCCGTCCTCTTCCCAGCGCATTAATGCTCTGGTTCACTCTTCACCATCAGCCTCCCTATTTCCCTCTGCTGGTTGCTCTAGTGCCCCAGCTCTTCCACCCCCTCCTCCTCCCCTTCCTCCACCAAGAGCCCAGCCAAATTCCAGTAAACCTGCCTCGTCCAGGCTGTTGGAGAATACAGTTGAAGAACTGATGCTTTTAGAAACACCGTATCAGGATCTGAAAGGGCAGCCCATATTCTGGATGAAGAAGGATATCTAATTTTTTTTCATCACGTGCCAGGGCAATAAAGATGAAATAAGCGAATGAGATATGTTTTAAAAGGAAAGCCTGGCTTTGTGAGACAAGAGATCACCATTTAAAATGAATAAGACAACATATTTGGTTTTCTGTTGTTCTTTTGTATCAAGTTCCTTTTTGTTGAATGCGCAAGGTGTTAAGACAAAGTTCTGTATACACTGGGTACATTTTGAAGGCCAGCATTTGATTCTCATTATTGCCAAAGTTGTACTGGTGGGGCTATACTGAGCTGCCCCATAGATTCCCTTGTTTCTATTTTACTGCATTTCCCCAATTAACAAAGCACCTTCAGAACTCTGAGCTGTCCCTTCTGGCTCTGCAGGGAGTGTTCAAACACACCCCTGCATCAGCAAGTCAGTGGTCCTGGTACAGATGCATAAAGGGAATAGCTTTGGCATCCCCTCTGTTAGGATGTATGCATTATACTCAGGCATGGTTTAACTATGATTTATTGAATACATCGGAGTTGGCTTGGTTTACCAAACTTGCTAAGTGATAAACCTTGATTTACAGCCATCGTTATATTTATTTCAATTTATTATAGCTGCCCAACTCCAATGGGCTCTGGGCGGTGTACAGAATCAGAAAAAAAATCCTTAAAAAAATAAAACCTAAACAGATAAATATTTATCTAACATTTGACTTAGATGTTGTGAGTCATTGTCTTCATATGGATTAAGCAGAACTGAGAGATGGTGCTGCTTTGGTGGGATAATAGTGGAGCGAGCCTCTTCTTCATAAGTTTGTCCCATTCTGACTTGGACTCCAAGAATGGCATTTGTAATAAAAGCTATTTCCTGATAGCCTTCATACACATATAAAGTAATCGTGTTTAGGGCTTGATTTGAGGAAGAGACAGCTCTTTAATCATATTAACTGCCATGGCTTCTAGTCCCCACAATCTGGAATTATGGGCTGTGGAAACTTCCAACCTGGTGCCTTCCAAAAAGGTTAGTATATAGATTGCTGGGAAAAATAAACAAGGTTGTGTCAGACTAGCAAATTCATCATGGAATATCCTTTCATGGACCTTTTTTTTTTTCCCAATATAGTTCTATGAAAGCTGATCTGAACACTGTTTTTAAATAAATGACCAGCTGATGAATTTGTAATTTTTCATTCTTAGGTCCATAGCTCTATTTAATTTAATTGGTTAATATTCCACCCAAGCTATTGCCGCCTCTGCTTGACAGCTAATCTCTATTGCATGCATGTAGAGAAGTGATAGGACCTGCAAAATAATTGCATTTTTTTGGAGCCAAGTCTTGGATATATTCAGACAGTTTAACTTTATGGCTACATTTAAAATCTTTTACAGACATATCAAAAAATGGTAGCATATAAATTGGTCTTGATATGAGCTGTTTATGGAAAAGATATTCACTTCCCTTCTTGTCTAAACTTTATAGAGGGGACAATCAGAAAGTAATGTGCATTTCATAAAAGGTTAGACAACAGATTCCATAATTTCAAGGAATAAGGCTATACATTCCTTATATTCAGAAGTGCATAATGCATAGAATGCATAATGCATAGAAGTTCTCTATTAGGTGATGAAGAATCACTATTTTTTTAAGGTTTGCATCTTTACACTCACAAAATTATTAATAAAGTAATTTAAATACACAAGGTAATGCAATGCGGAATTTCTATTACATATTTAGAATTAATACTAGGCGTACAATTCTAAAACCTTTAAATTGCTTTTGTGAAAAGGGAGAGGCCAAGCCCCATCAGAATTTTGTCTATGAAGCAGCAGTGTTGTGGATACAGCTGTAAAAGAGCTACTTAAGAAAACACCATGCAAAGGCAATTTTTTTTAGGGATGTATAAGAAATGATATTATTTCTTCATTGAATGTTGTACATTGAGGTCTCTTAATACTTGAAAAT